ATTGATAGAAATCAAATGGATTTATTTTAAAGAGTCACAGTTTGTCACTATAAGGATTGTCTTAATTTTTAGTTTGATTGTCGTATGAACTTGTGCTTCATTTTGAGATTATTATTTTTGCAAGTGTCATCTAATTATACTCATTTCGACTTTAAATTATAGATCCTATATATAATAAGATGTTAATAATCGTGTTTATTAAAGRTAATGGAACTTGCTAATGAAGAACGTAACATTCGACGACGACTCGCATATATGGCACGTTATGAAAGACGAGAAAGGTTGACATTCAAAYGTGCTACTAGATCATCTGATGCACACCAATATGTGTATGCATTGAATATTTTGAGAAAAGAGATATTCAAGCATGCAAGATTCCAAAGAAAAATTTCCATCATTAATAAGAGATTCAAGACCTGTCCACACTTGAAATTTGCATATACGGATACATTTATCACATTGATGCTCATACATTGGAACTCTAATGGTGTGTAAGTTTTTTTTTACGATAATTTCTAATTCACATTATGAATTGTGATAACTGGATCTTGGTTATCATCTAAGGTAAATAATATGTGATTATTTGTTATATGTTTACATGACAGCATGATAAATTGATACATTTTGATCATACTAGTATGTGAAAATATGCATAATATAGATGCATGAATGAGATTATGTGTATATGTGGATGCACATGTATGATATATATATATATATATATATATATATATATGTGTGTGTGTGTGTGTGTGTGATATGCATGCATGAGTGTGGGTATTTATTTATTTATGAAGGCATGTATATGGTGTACGGCTGTAGTAGCAAACTTTCCCTAAAGGGAAAGTATAAAAGGAGGGTTTGATATTCATTTTATTCTCTTGCCATCTTTGAAATAAGTTGAGCGATTTAAAGAGAAAGGAGGTTGACCGGATTCTTTTTGGAACAAAGTAAATTCAAATTGGTTTCAAAAGAATTTTAAGGTGAGTGGTTTAAATTGCTTTTAAACTGTTTATAGTTGTATAATTGATTGTATAGCTTTTTCATTTGATTTAAAAGTTAACCATTGAGGTGTTGTCCGAATTAGACTTAAACCGGCTAAGAGTCAGGCAGTTTAGTCTTAAACCGGAAAAGGGTTGGGCGATTTAAACCCTAAACCGGTTAAGGCTTAAGCGATTAATAAATAAACCGCTTGATGAGTGTTGTCCGGATTGAACTTAAACCAGTCAAGGCATAAGCGGTTTAGCCTTAAATCGGTCAAGTGTTAAGCGATTTATAAATATTGAATTTATGTTTTGAACGGAAAAGTATGAATACGACCATGTGTTGTCCGGACTTCTTATCCGGAAAAAAGTGTTGGAATTCTCTTAAGTGTTAAATCGGACAAAGCTTGAGAGAGAGTTGTCCGGATTAGTAAATCGGACAAGGGTCTTGTATTGACCGGAGATGAAGTCCGGCCAAGTCTGTGTTGACCGGATTTGTGCTTTGACTTATGTATTATTTATACAATTGTCATTTTTAGTATTCTTGTATAAAAATGGGAATTTTGATAAAGAATGATTTTGAACTAATGATATTCCATTAGAACATTTATGGCTGCGGTCTGTTCTAATTGGAATTGTTTTTGTGAAATATTTTAATGAAGAAATAAGGGTGGCATATCAAGGAGAGGTGTACCATGGGATAAGGGTGGCATATCAAGGAGAGGTGTACCTATGGATATAAGGGTGGCATTTGTATGTGTGTTATGTTATATAACTCTTACTATTATATCTTTTAAAATTACCGTGGTCTGGAATCTTTATTTCTTTGTGATTTAAAGGTTTAAGATCGGGGTTTTTATTGGAAATCATAGTCTGGATGTTATTAAGGAGAAAATAACAGGTTTGGCCTGAAACTTTAAATAAACCTTGTTTAATGAAAAAGGTTTAAAAGTGGCATTATATGAAACTTGGTTGGTTCAAACCTATAATGGTTTGAAGTATGTTATTTGAATAGCTGAATGTTTGGCTTGAAAAGTGGAAAGTTATTGGTAATATGTTCCTATTTGTTCATATATTTGTTATATATATGAAAAGATTATTTTGTACAAAGTTTTGGTGATTTTCACCCTGCAATAACATAAATAGGGTAACTCACTAGACCTTTCGGTCTAACCCTCATTTTGTGATTTTAAATATGTGTTGCAGGAGGTAAGGATGGTAAGGGGAAGAGGAAAATATGATATATTTTCCTATATGCATATCTACATGAAGATTTGTCTATGATGTATAATTTTAATGGATGAACGATGATTAGTACAAGAAATGTATTTTGAATTTTTGGGATATGTATTATGTATAGTAAATTCTTGTACTAAGGGACTTGAGTGGTACATAAACATGTATTCTTCCGTATGAAGTATGTGTTACATGCAATGTGTGGTATGGGGTGTTACATGAATGCAATTTGATGAACATTTCATGCACAAAATATTAATGTTTCAAGTAATATTTTTTTATCTTCCATAATATTATTGCTTAGTATAACAAACTTATGCAGCAAGGACATTCAATATAATTAAAGAAAGACGAATTTTTGATGCCACCACAAATGTATCTACAAGTCTGATACATAACAATGACACAGGTGATTGCATGCAAATTATTTTATATATACATTATACAATTTTAAAGTAAATAATTCATCTATCTTTACAACAATATCAGGTCCAAGTGGTGCAAGGCTCTCAAATTCAGGTGCCTACACTTACGTGCATCATAACAAATCTAAGGACCAAGGTAAATGATGTTATTATACTTTGTTACAATCATTTCATATAGTCGTGTATATCAATACTAATTCCAAACTGCATGGACTTTCAACTATAAGTGCCACTTGCGATTCAATGGAACTTTGGGAAACCAAATCATAAATGCAAACATTGTGGTGACATTACGTGGTATGAAGAACGAAACCAAAAGACCAGCAAAACCTCAAATCCAACATTCATATTTTGTTGTTTAGAAGGTCGTGTAAGATTGTCGTTACTTCCGCAGCCATTCAATACACAAATCTTTGTGTATAACAAAGATTCACAACATGATTCCGCACATTTTGATCCTGTTTTTAACACGAAAACACAAAATTTTAAAAAAAAATTGGATCAAAATCAAAGAAAAAAAAACAAGATGAACACAATATAATTCCAGAAAAAAATTCTTCAAAAACTTGATTTCTTCTCCTGATTTCGTGCATATTCAGCTCTGATACCAATTGTTGTCCACAATTAATCAATCTTCAAGCAAAACTTCAAATATCCATGGCAGATCTGAGATTTTCTAATAAGAACATAAGAAGGAGATAGAGAGAATTTGTCAACTTTGGTCAAACTTTCATATATGTATCTGAATTTTTACAATAAGCATCCTACCCAAAATTACAAGATATCACCCTATTTATAAGGTCAAACAAGAAACCACATAGTCAAAGTCAAACAGTCTAATAAAAGTCAAACACGGTGACTTTATACAATTATAGACAATTTTATCTTTCAAGACGAATACAATTTTACACTAAATTTCATTCCTAACATTCTCCCCCTTTGTATTCAGACTTGAAAGAATTTGCGTACTTTGAGTCTCGTTTGAACTTTGAAGCTTTAAGCACACAATGTCTTCTTCAAAAACAAACTTCAACTCGAAATCTCAGACAATCAATTGTTGAGAAAGATCTTCTAACATTCTCCCCCTCGAATGTAGAACAGCGATGATCTTCTCTTTTGACAATGTAGATCAGAAACAATAACAAACAAATTTTAAACATTCTCCCTAATAATGAATTTCTTCAGATAAGATCACAAACATTCTTTTATGACACGAAATTTCTATCAGTAAATTGTTAGGAATGAAATTCAGTGTAAAATTGTATTCGTCTTGAAAGATAAAATTGTCTATAATTATATAAAGTCACCGTGTTTGACTTTTCTTAGATAGTTTGACTTTGACTATGTGGTTTCTTTTTTGACCTTATAAATAAGGTGATATCTTGTAATTTTGGGTAGGATGCTTATTGTAAAATTCAGATACGTATATGAAAGTTTGACCAAAGTTGACAAATTCTTTCTATCTCCTTCTTATGTTCTTATTAGAAAATCTCAGATCTGTCATGGATATTTGAAGTTTTGCTTGAAGATTGATTAATTGTGGACAACACAAAGGACACTTCAAAATCTGCTCGACCCCACATCTTGAAGTAAAGAGGTAGCTTTTCATAAAGAAATACGAACATATAGTTCTATGTTCGCATTGACATCACTCGAATGTCGAATTGATTCTACTATTAATCACGGGAAAGGGCAATATGTTTATAGAGTGAGTGGACAAAATTTGCATCGAATTAGATCTCTATTGCCTATAAGTGGCAAAAGGCCTCAATTTGCCCAACTCTATATCTATGACACCGAGATAGAAATGACCAACATGGTGAATGCAATGCAAAGGCAGTTTAGCCATACCGATCTCAATTCAGAGATTACACCAGAACTATCTGAAATGTTAGAGGAGCACAACATTTTAGTAAAGTCGTTTCGCATGGCTAGAGATCGATATCGTTCAGATCTGGATTCTAATTTTTGCTTACGAATCATCATAAGTCATAAAAGGGATGGTCATCAATATAATATGCCCACCGCTGAGGAAGTTGCTGATTTAATAGTTGGTGATCTTAGTGAAGAAAATTTTGGACGTGACATCATTGTTGAACATCATGCAAATGGTCTTCAACGCATTACAGATCTACATCCAAGTTTCATGTCCATGACGTACCCTTTGATACACCCTTACGGGGAAGATGGGTATCGAGAAAATATCTAACTACAAAACATGATTGGATCATCCAGTAAAAGACAATTTGTCACGATGAGACAATATTATTGCTTTAGATTACAACAAAGGGTACATGAAGGCCACACTTTACTACACTCTGGACGATTGCTTCAACAATATATTGTAGATGCTTACATGGCAATTGAAGAAGGTCGTTTTAGGTGGATACATAACAATCAAGAACAGTTACAAACTGACTTATATTGTGGATTAATGAATGTTGTACACCATGGAGAAACTGATGGTAAGAAATTGGGTAAATCAATTATATTACCATCCACTTATACTGGCGGACCTCAATACAGAATCCAGAATTACCAAGACGCTATGGCACTTTGTAAAAAAAGTGGGCTAGATATCCAGATCTATTTATGGCATTTACATGCAACCCAAAATGGCCAGAGATAACAGAAACACTCGACATTGTACAACAAAAGGATGATCTGAATAGAGTGGATATTTTATGCAAAGTGTTAGAGATTAAGCTTAAACAGTTTATGCTAGACTTGAAAACTACCAAAAATTTTGGTAGCATAATCGCCTGTAAGTTAAATAACACAAAACATATTTTTTTTGTTGGAAATATGCATACCATTAACAATTAATTGAGGTTTCATGCTTTTTCAGGTATTTATACTATCGAGTTCCAAAAGAGAGGCTTTCCGCATGCGCATATATTATTATTTTTGGATTCCAAATCCAAAAACCCGTCGGGTGAGCATATTGATAGAGTCATTACCATAGAGATTCCAAATACAAATGTTGATCCTGATGGTTTTAACGTCTTGAACAAATTTATGATTCATGGTCCATGTGGAGATATCTATTCATCATCCCCATGTATGGTGCAAGATATATGTTCAAAAAGTTTCCCTAAGAAATTTATTGGACAAACATCAATCGACTCATATGGATATCCAGTATACAGGAGAAGAGATACAGGTGCTTGTGTTACCAAAAAAAACCATCAATTAGACAACAAGTACGTTGTTCCTCACAACAGAAATTTGATTGTGAGGTTTGATGCCCACATCAATGTCGAAGTTTGCAATCATTCAAGAGCGGTAAAATATCTCTTCAAATATATTCACAAATGATCTGATAGAGCAACTGCTACATTTCACTCGATATGGTTTGAGACAAACAAAAAATATGAAGATGCTCGACAACTGAGTTATTCATCATTCCCAACGGAATGGGTTTGGAATTCTTTGGACAAGGTGTGGACTAGACGCAAAAAGGGCATTTCAATCGGTAGGATGTACTTCACCTATTCATCTGCTGGGGAAGGATTTTACATGTGTATGCTATTAAACTTTGTCAAAGGATGCACTTCATTTGAAGACATACGCACAATAGATGGATATATGCATCCTACTTACAAGGGAGCATGTTATGCACACAGATTGTTAGATGATGATAGTGAATGGATTGATTGTTTGGAAGAAGCATCAAATTGGGCTATTGGATACGAGTTACAACATTTTTTTGTTACAATCCTCACCCATTGTCAAGTTTCAGACGCTCTTCGTTTATGGAATACATATTATGAAATACTCTCCGAAGATATAACTATCATGCAGCGACGGTTCAAGGTCAACAACTTGAAATTGACTGCCTTAGAAATTGAAGCATATACTTTGTTCGAAATAGAGTCAATCATGGAGAAAATGGGGAAGAGTTTGAAAGAAATTAATGGAATGCCACTTCCAAATCAACAATTACTACTCGAGTTACAAAATAGGTTGGTAAATGAAGAACTCGACCACAATCGTGAAGATTTAAGAGTTGTTCATGATACCAATTTCCCATTGCTCAACCAATGTCAAAGCGAGGCTTATGAAGCTATTATGGATTATGGTTACGAAGGTCGTGGTCACTTGATATTTTACCATGGTCGTGGTGTAACAGGAAAAACATTCCTTTGGAAAACAATTGTTGCAAGACTTAGATCTGAGGGAAAAATCGTATTACCTATAGCCTTATCAGGTATCGCAGCATTGTTATTGCTAAATGGGAGGACTTCTCATTCTAGATTCCGTATACCTTTAGATGTAACTGCAGAATCAACATGTGAGATCAGTCATGGCACACAATTAGCTGAATTGCTTCAAAAAAAAACTTTTTTGATTATTTGGGATGAGGCTCCTATGGCACACAGATATTGCCTTGAAGCTTTAGACAAGAGTCTACGCGACATACTGAGCACCCGTTATGAAGATAGCAAATCAAGGCCATTTGGTGGTCTAACGGTCGTTTGGGGTAGTAATTTTCGTCAAATCTTGCCAGTCATTCCAAGAGGTACTAGGTTGGATATTATTAATGCATCATTTAATTCTTCTTATTTGTGGTCATTGTTTTGAGTGTACGAGCTTAACCAATACATGTGCCTTCTACATAAAAGTGTCTCCCTCAGAAGTACTTCACATCAAAGCATTTGATGATTGGATGTTACAAATAGGCGATGGATCGTATTTTGATAATTTTGAGGATGAAATGCTTAAGCTTCCTTCAGACATTTGTTTAGAACAATTTGAGCACCCGATACTATCCATACTTGAAGCAGTTTATCCCTCACTATTGGATAATTATAAAGATCCTTCGTATATTACAGAAAGAGCTATTTTAACTCCAAAAAATGATATGGTGCAAGAATTAAATGAATGCATCATGGATATAATATCGGGAGAAGGAAGGACATACCTTAGTTCTGACAATGTTTGCAAAGGCAATGTGCAATCTAATGATGAAGACCTTCTTTATTCAACTGAATTACTAAATAGTTTGAGATTTAGTGGGATACCAAATCATGACATTCATCTTAAGGTTGGTGCTCCAGTTATGCTTTTGCGTAACATTAATCAAATAGAAGGGTTGTGCAATGGAACACGATTGATTGTCACATTACTTGGGAAATGGTCTGTTAGAGGAGATATAATTTCTGGAAGTCATACAGGCAAGAATGTTACAATCTGAAGAATCATAATGTCACCAAGCGACTCAAAATGGCCATTCAAACTTAATCGCCGCCAAATACCATTAGCACCATGCTTCTCCATGACAATAAATAAAAGTCAAGGCCAATCGCTTAAACATGTTGGACTTTTCCTCCCAAAACAAGTAAATCCTAAACTTTATTCCTGTTACGTTTGTTATATCACATGGTTTACCAATATAATCAACCATAATCCTCATCATGATCTTTCATAGGTTTTCACATGGGCAACTATATGTTGCAGTGTCTCGAGTTACATCACGTGAAAGGCTAACCATAGTTAATGTTGATGAAGAAATTGAGGATCATAACATGATAAAAAAATATAGCTTATCATGAAGTTTTTAACAACGTCTCTCCAATCAATTACAATTGAATAAAGGTAAAAATCTATTAAACTTATTATAAATTCTTTGAATTTTTATATTATTTCGTTTACTCAATTTTTTGCCCAAATAACGTCAACGGTAATTAATGTTAACTAATATTGTTTGTTTTCAGTTGCAGAACCTTGAAGTTAAATTATAATGCAAGATGCACATTTTAACTGCGGTATTCACTTGGATTATTCAAATAATACTTCATGTCATATAATTTAATTTTGTTTTTTGAAGTTTTTCATAACACTACAATTTCAATGTTATTTTGGTGATTGGATATTACATGATTTAAATAGAATTGTATACATGTGCATTTATCTATACTATCTTATAAAGCATTTGGCTAAAACTCTTAAAAATGCTTAAAAACGCTTAAAAACTCTTAAAGACAACCTCTATTGCTAATGGTACAACCTATCAAAGACATCCCTAAACAATTTCATCCCAATCCGATTTCATCCCTATCCTATTTCATCGCCAACAGAAACTCAATTCCCTCCCTAAACGATTTCATCCCTAAACGATTTCATCCATATCCGATTTCATCGATTCCAGATTAGATTTCATCGGTTCCAGATTACGGTTGAGATAATCGACTCCAACAGAATTTAGAGATACGTATATATTTGACATATTTTCAATCCATTAGCGTCAATCCAGAATTAGAGGAGGTAATCTATTTCTTTTTTTCCTTAGCCAACTTCTTTGTTCAAGAACAGATTCAGGAAACCCTAATTCACACCATTGCAGAGAGATCTCGTGCGGGCACAATTGAGGTATTCGTTCGTAATCACAGCGACTGAAAAAGATTGCAGTTTACAGGTTCATATTCGTTTTTTATTCTTGTTTAATTTAATATCTGTAGTTTCTAATTGAACATAACAGATTGCATTTGGATGGATTTTGGATTGTTATCGTCGTTTTCGTTGTTATATCTGGAAGTTTAGGGTGTGGCGGTATCTATACTATATTATAAAGCATTTGACAAAAACTCTTAAAAACCACTTTTTATGCGTAAAGTACTGTTTATTAATGCATATTACTTAAAATTCAATATTGCAAGTAGATTGTGCGTAAGTACAACTTTTTAAAGCCCCATATCTGAATTCGTGCAACTAACTGCTGATAAACATAATCAAATACAAGATAAACATCTTATTTTAAATATAAAAAATCTAAAATATAATTAGGATAATCATTATTATCTTTATAAAATTTATAATATTAAACCAAAAATAAATTATATCATTATTAAACTTAAATTAAATTATAATAAATTAATTAATTAAGAAATTATCTATACTATATTATAAAGCATTTGACAAAAACTCTTAAAAATCATTTTTTATGCGTAAAGTACTGTTTATTTGTGATAACCGAATTCTGGTTATTACCCAAGGTATTGATTATGTGAATTAATTGTTTATGTGGATACATGCTTACATGGGTTATATATAAGGATATATGCGTAATATGTAGATATATATATACATATATATGTGTATAAAATATATATGTGAAGTGTGTATGCATGAGGAGTATGCATAAGCTTATGTGCGTATGTATGTAAGAAATGTTATGTGTACATGCATGCATGTGAGTGAGGGCCTGGATGGCCGACCTTTCCTGTTTTAAAAGGGTATAAAAAGGAGAGTTTGACCTTCATTTCATTCCATTGCCATTTTTGAAATCCTGTGAGTGATCTTGAAAAGAGTTGTCCGATTATCCAAGAGGAGTTTAGCAATCTTCTTCAAAATCTGAGTTTGTACTTAAGGTGAGTGATTTTTTTAAACCTTTTTGCATAAAATTTGTTACTGGTTTTACTTGAATGTTGTTTATTATTTGAAAGAAATCAGTAATTTAATTAAGGATCTTTATTCGGACAAAGGGTAACCGGACTAAGTATAAATCGGACAAAGTTTGTCCGGATTACTCTTAAATCGGACAAGAGGTGACCGACTTAGTTATAAATCCCTCAAGAGTCATGCGATTTAGGGAGTTAGTGAGATTTTGAATTATGTAAGTAGGTCAAAGGTTTTGAACGGAGAAGAAGGAATACGACCATGCATTGTGCGGTTTAAGCCTTAAATCGCCTAAGGATTGTGCGGATTATCTATAAATCGGCCAAGTGTTGTCCAGACTACCTTAAACCGGACATATGTTGAGAATGTATTGACCGGATTGGTAAATCGGACAAGGCTGAGTGGGTTGTCCGGATTTGTATATCAGATAGACTTATGTTGATCGGATTTGTAAACCGGCCAAGTGTTGTCCGGATAACTTTTATTTGAAAATTTTCAAGTGTTAATTATTTTAGACATTTATATAATTTAGAAATGTCTATTATTTGGGTTTATTTATGGATTTACAAAAAAGGGATATTTTATATCTTTTTAAATAAAAAGATATGTTCCTACCAAGCGTGGTGACGTAAGTCTGTTTTGGTATGGAACTGGATTTGGGAAAATATTTCTACCAAGCGTGGTGATGTAAGTCTGTTTTGGTATGAAACTATATTTTGTGAAACCTTCCTACCAAGCGTGGTAACGTAAGTCTGTTTTGGTATGGAAGTGGATTTTTATAAAACGGTTTCTACCAAGCGTGGTGACGTAAGTCTGTTTTGTTACGAAACTTGTTTTAAGCGGTAGTTCCCCCAGACGTGGTGACTTTTGTCTGTTCTGGTTTGGAACTGGGAATGGGTACTTTCAGGCGTGGTGACTTTTGTTTGTTTTGATAAGTAGCCCTGTTTTGATGAAGGAATAAGGGTGGCATATCAAGGAGAGGTGTACTTGGAATAAGGGAGGCATAGTCATATGTGGATATTATTATAACTCTTATTATTATTACTAATTAGATTTAATAACTTTGAATCATTATTTCTTTGTGACCTGATGAATTAGAGATATTATTCTTATTAGAAATATTAATTTAGATGTTATTGAGAATGGAAAAATGGTTTGTCATAAAAGGCAAGTATTGCCTTAAATCTTTCCGTTAAATGTTTACAAAGGAATAGTTTAATGATTCGAAGAATCTTTGGTTACATTACTGTTTCATATTGAGAATGTTGAATTTTTAAGCAGATGTATTTTAGTAGTAGAACTGAGGTTCTTGAATTTATTCTTGTATGCATATCATTGAGAACTGCATCATTGGATTGTATTACAAATATTTCTGAGCAAAGTTACTTTATTATATTTTGGTGTTTATTACCCTGCAATTGCAAAGAAGGGACTTACTCACTAGACACTTCAGGTCTAGCTCTCATTTTCTGTTTTAAAATTATGCAATGCAGGAATAGCGGGGTCCGAGGATATTAAAGGGAAAGGGAAAATGTGATTATGTTCCTAATCTGTTATCTGCTTTTGAAGAATCATGTTGTATTACATGTAATAGTACAAGATTTGTTTTGGAAATTTTTATATGTAGATTTTGTATATATAGTAATCCTTGTACTAGTGGGACCTTATGATGTAAACTATATTTCCATGTAATGAAATATGTGTTATATGCAAATGTGGAGTTTGGGGGTGTTACATTATTAATGCATATTACTTAAAACTCAAGATTGCAAGTAGATTGTGCGTAAGTACAACTTATTAAAGCCGCATATCTGAATTCGTGTAACTAACTGCAGATAA